TGCACCAAGAGCTTGTAACACTCCAAAGAGAAAGGAAAACTTGAAATCGCATCATATGACCCCTTTAATGTACTGTGTAGATAAACAGACCATTTATTAAAGGCACAATATGTAAGATTTTTTTATTAAAATATCCAAAAACTACTAGAACAGTGTTATATATTTTGCTGACTTGTGTACTTACATTATCCCAAATGTTTCGAAGAATGTTTAATTTTAAGATTGCATCGGCTGTGGGGATGAAGACGACAACTCCCATGATTCCACACTCAGTCACAGCGTCATCAAACTACGCCTTTGTTTCTTTTGAATATGTGCCCTCTAGTGGCAAAAATTACATATTGTGCCTTTAATGTGCGGTCGCATTTATCGTGAAAATTTCGGTGTATTTTCAAGGGCGAAATCCAGTACCTGCTATATAAAAGTTTGCAATTAGGAATTTCATGTGAAATTCAGATTTCGCAACAGTTTCAAATTTGTCACGCAAATCCGTCGCAATGACCAATAGAAAGCTGCATGGTTTAAATGTGACTTCTGTGAGCTGTGCTTAAAACATCGCTACCCTACAGACAAAAGACAATGGACCTTTCATACAAAAATTTCACTGAAACTTTGCTAATGTGACTGCGCTTTTAAACGGCATGTTCAAACATGATCACAACCAAAAGCACACCGACATTTGACCTCCTAATTGACACAATCAACACCAATTACCTTATTTCACATTTAAAAAGGTTAGCCAATCATAACAGAATTATTTACATACAGAAAACTTAAAGGAAACACAGCAAAAAAATAAAAATCTTCTAATATCCATTTTCTTCTTTCAACATATAATTAAAGATATGTGAGGGTTATTTTGAGGGCAAATTCCAAAGAGTGAAAAACCGTTTCTGCCAGACAGCTGATTTTTAAACACACACACACACACACACACACCTGTACTGATGAATGTCCTCAAAGGACTTGGTGTTATTGATGGCAAACACACAGAGGAAGCCCTCTCCTGTCCTCATGTACTGGTCCCTCATGGCGCTGTACTCCTCCTGACCTGCAGTGTCCAAGATGTCCAGGAGACACGTCTCCCCGTCAATCACCACCTGCTTCCTGTAGGAGTCCTGCCGAATCAACACCAAACTCACGTTTGCTTTCATCAGTAAGACTGTTTCTTGTTTATTTCTTACCCAACAGCCAATAATCTTTAGTTATTTCACACACATGGACATGATTTGATGTCTTTAAAATGACTTTTCTAAAAATGTGCAGAATAAAGGACTTTGGGGACAAAATGACATGGACCAAAACAGCAAACGAGCAGAAGATAAGGTTGAGTTGTGTCCTGTCGAGACACTCGTGTGTGTTAGCGCACAGCGACTCAGCCATAAAAAGGACATTGTTTGTCCAGAGACGGGCGTGGCGGGAAAAGAGGACAGAGAGAGCGAGGGACGTGTAGAAGCACGTACACACACACACACACACACACACACATCCCTCACACTGAGAGCAAAAGCAGGCAGAGGGGAAACTCCTGCGGTTTAGTTGACACTGAGTGTGCGGAGAAACACACAGACTGAATCTGTGAATGGTAGGGCTGGAGTTTATCTATTGCCCAGTGATGTTGTGAGATATAGTGAAGAGACGGACCACTGGTCAGTTTAGTAAAGCATAACGTACAGTACAAGAAAGCTAAGGATGTACCAGAATCAAATAGAAACAAAAGGTTCCATTAGTTAAAGGGTTAGTTCACCCCAGAATGAAAATTCTGTCATTAATTACTCACCCTCATGTTGTTCCAAACCCGTAAGACCTTCGTTCATCT